GGGGCTGGAGCTCAGGCTGTGACCAACCCAGCCCTCGTCCCAGTAGCCCACCCTCTCCAAAGGGCTGTGGTCCGGACTGCCTCCCCCCAGGGGTGATGCATCCCGGTCCCCCAGCCCCACCTCAGAGCACTTACCCCTCTGGGTCATCTGGGGTCTCAGGGACACTGAGGACAAAGACTGGAGGCTGGGCCATATCTGCGGCTCATGCCCAGCCGGCCTACAGACCTAGGGCAGTTCAGAGCCCGAGCATGGCCTCCAGGGCTTCCTGCTACACATCTGATGAGACAGGAAGCGTGACACCAAAGTTAGCCCTCAATGCCTGGCACCTCGCCCAGCGACCCGAGACCCGCGACCCGCTCCCTGGGGACCGTGGGAGGCACTACTCCCTAGGCTGCCCGCGCCCCCACCCTGCCCCCACCCACCAAACGCGTGGTCAAGTGAGTGGCCCCAGATAAACCTCAGGCCAGAATGGACTTGGGGGGAGCCTGTTCCACCACCAGGGGAGGAGGAGGGAGGGGGTGAGGAAAGGAGGGGGTTCTGGGCAGTTCCCCACAGTCAGTCCCTGAAAGATGGGGAGCAGGTGGGGTGCCTGTGGATATGGTCCTCCGTTCCTCGGGTTCTGCCCCAGGGATGCCACCCTCTTAGTGAGAAAGGTCAGGGCAGCGGACACCTTCCCTGCGCCCACCCCGTGACCCCCCAGCACTTCCTCCCAGAGGAAATCCCACAGGCAGCCGGCGGCCTGGGCCCCCACCCCTCTCGCCACACCAGCCCCAGACAGAGCAGCAGACAGGATGGCCTCCTGGGCTGTGCCCCACTCTGCACCCCCCCGCAGCGGTCACTCTGTGCAACGCTAGGCCACACTGGGCGACTGCATTAACGTCAACAGCCCTCCTGAGAGACTCCCCCATATTCCTTCACCCCAGGACGGCCAGGGCAGCTAGCTGGGGGCAGGGGGGCTGGGCCTCAAACAGGCAGCCTTTGTCCAGGCCCTGCCATCACCAGGACAACTGAGCCAGGGCGGCCTTGTCCGGGCTCTTCACCCGTAGGAGCAGGGCGGGAGCAACAGACTCCCAACCACCAGCTGACTGCGCAGGGCCCTGCCCCAGCATGACTGGGCCCAGCCCCAGCCCGCCCAGTCCCCCCACCGCCCTGCCCCTCACCCACAGGAACTCAGCACTCAGAAAAGTTGGTTTAGCTCAAGGTGCTTCTGCGGGCAAGGCCGGGGTGCCTGGACAGAGCAGGTCCCAGTAGGGCTGGGCCCACTTAGCAGTGCCCAGTCTCTGAGCCCAGGCCCCAAACAATCGGAGCCCCTCCTCTTCCCTCCCACAGGAGCACAGAGTGGAGAAACCAGCAGAGAGAGAGGTCAGAGGTGACTCCGCCAGAAAGGGGAAGTGGCTGGAGGTGGGGCCGAGGGTGTGCCCCTCAGTCCAGTCCCTACAGCTGGAATTCCTTTCTAGAAAGACAGACCCCCCCAAGTGCAGACCGCAGCCCTCTCCCACACACTCCTTCTCCAGGAGGGAGGGGCCGGGAGATGGGAGGCGCTCAGAGGGCACCTAGTGGGTGAGGGCTCACCTGGGCGCCGGCATCTGGGCACAGCTGAGGACTTCTGCCGGGCTGGTACCCAGAGCCCTGGCACCCAGCACCCTGGCACCCTGCCCCAGGCTCCAACAGATGGCGCAGCAGTTTCCGGGGTGCACCATTCCTGAGCCCTGCAAGCTGGGGAAGGGCAGGGTGGAGCCCGTTTCCGGAAACCCTACCCCAGCCAGAAGCAAGTCCTAAGGGAATAGCTACGGCTCAGAAGAGCCACAGCCCAGCCTCGGAACCCAGGGCCGCAGTAACTCCGAGAAGCCCTGGACCCCTCATCTGCCAGTCTCCCACTCCCCCATTTTCAGCCAGTGGTACCTACCTGCGGAATTAGGCCTCCACTCCCCAGCCCATCCCGGTCACGACACACACCACGGCCCTCTCCCCTGATGCCCCCAGCCAGCTAGGGTGGGCTGGGATCAGCAGGTCCCCCTGCCCTGCTCAAACCTTGAGAGATCCCGGAGAATCCAGCCAAAGGAATTCGAAGGGGGTGAATTGGTGGGCACAGGGGAACTAGATGGGACTGGGAGGACGCAGGCGCGCCTCCAAGCCCCGGAACTGCGCCCTGCCCAACTGGCACTGGCATCCTGGCCGCTTACCTGGGAGGCGCCAGGGAGGAGGGGCCCTGTGAGAGGCTCACCTGTCCCCAGAGCAAGTCGCCGGGAAATGTCTGCGCTCCACCAGCTGGGGAAGAGGTCTCAAGGTCAGAGAGAGGGAGTGACCAAGGGCCCAGGGGACAACATGTGGCCATCGCAGGCCTAGAGGGGGCCAGAGGGAGCTGCACCTCCCAGCCTGGCCCACGTGGTGGCCGGCCCCAGGCAGGTCACATGACCCGGATCCCTCCGCGGGCGCGACTGGCTCCTCCCCGTCCTCCTCCTCCTCCCCATGCCCATTCCCCAGGGAGCCCTCTGGCGACTGTGCCCTCTCCCCTGCCAACTTCTGACCCTTCCTCTTACCCCACCCCGACGTTTGAGCAGGGTGAAGGTGTCTGGAGGTGTTCCCATCTCCGGTTGAAGCCAATTTCTGTGGGACTCAGTTTCCCCAAGTTTCAAATGGGGACAATACTTCCAGACCCGCCCACTTCCCCAGGGCGATCATCAAAATAACAGCACGCTGCAAAGCCACACTGATGCAGCGGGCCTTGCAACACCAGATTGGGTAACCCCTTCCTCCTGGTCAACCTCCGGTGACCAAACCCCCCGGAGCCGGCTGGTGGAACCGGTGTTGGGGGAGGGGGCAGAATCTCTGCCCTTCGGACCTGGTGGGCGTGGCCTCCGCTGTTTATCGCTCTGGCGTTCTGGCACACTTCCTGTGCTAAGTGGAGAGGAAAGGAGACACGTTGTGGCTGTTCCCACTGCCGTTTGCTCAGTTGTTTCCCACAAGCCCAGAACAGGGTTACCAACGACCCTATTTCACAGATGAGGAAACAGACTGAGGTCAGTCAGCCTCCAGGGTGTCGTGCCCTAGGGCCTGAGTCCTGTCCACCTAGGAGTTCTGCCGAGAAACCTGACTTTGAGAAGGCCAGAGGAGAGGCTCCTTTGAGTTTGAGAAAATAGGTGGGACTTGGACAGGGAAGGGGCCATTACTGGTAGGGAGAAGCCTTAAGAGGTGGGCAGGGTGAAAGAGAGGTGGAAGGCAGAAAGGAAGGAGAAGGTCCGCCTGGGGAGGACAGCTGCGCCAAGCCAGGATGTCCAAATGAAGAGTCGTTACTCAGGTCAGATCTTGGCACAAGGCGCCTCAGCCTGGGGAACCAGACCTGTCTGGCCTTTGCCTCTCCTCATCAAACCCCCACTACTCCTCCCTTCCCTGCACACCCATGCTCCAGCCATGCTGTACTTGCATGACCCCAGGCCCATCCTGAGGTCACCTCCTCTAGGGAGCCTTCTGGGATTCAACCCTGTTAGGGCATTTGCCATTTCCTATTGACAAGTGCATTGCCCAGTCTGTCCTCCCTCCCCTGCCCACTCTCTGTGCCCACTGTGTGCCCAGCGCCACCCAGCTTGGGGTCTGGCACAGAGGACGGGTCTGGAAAACCAGGAAGGGGACCAAGCCGGGAGACAGAAAAACCCGTGGAGCTGGGCTAGAAAGGATGGGGCCCTCAAGGAGGCGGGTAGGGGGAAGGGCAGGACCGCGGGGCTGCCCAGAGGTCGCGGGAGTGAGAAAAGGCCAACTCGCCTGGGCGGGGCCTGAGCGGAGCCGGTGCCTGAGCGCTTCCTATTCGCCAGGCGCAAGGCCCGGCCTCGGATTACGCGCCAGTAGCAGAGGCGGGAAGTTGAGAAAGAACGCCTAGGGCTTCTGGAAACCCAGCCGCCGGCGGTGATGGCGCCCGCCGCTTAAGTCACCACGGCGCCCGCCGAGCCGAAGCTACGGGCGGATAA